AAAAAATCTTGTGAAGCAGAGAACAAGTAAAACTCTTAGAAAGCAATCACTGAATCTGTTTAACAGTTTAATATCTCTGGGATGGAGTCAGAAATCTTTAGCTTTGGTAATTCCTTAACTCTACATTACGATGTGTTTAAGTTGGGGTAAAACAACTAAATTATGGACTCAAACTCCTGTTTAATCCAGAAATAACTTTGGTTCCTGAAACTGTTTAGTTGATAAAGAAAATTCACTTGGCTGTCAATAACATCTAGATCACAACTGGGTATAAAGAACTTCTGTCTGAGTTTGGAGGACTCAGAAAAAGTGGATATTAAAAGAGAAGTCAATGAACTCATATGAGTTGTCACAAATAGAAACTGCACAGAAACTTTAGAGCTGTGACCTTACTCTTTTTTTTCAATGATCATTCCAGATGATCTTGTGTAATAAAGTCACAACGTTACAGTAGATTTCCACACATCATCCATGAGCTTTATTTAGTCAGCCTTGATTTCCTAACTCTCCATCCATTTTCACTTGACATTTTTTTTTCACTCATCCCACAACTTCCTTCACATCATCCACCCTTCCCACAGTCATGTTTGTTTTCACTTCTCCTTTTAAGGACCGATATCAACAACCAAAACAAGGTTCAGTCTCTGTATCTAACATTTCTGTTGATTGAAAAGTTCATTGTATATTATAATGTTTACATCACATAGTTTCATACAAAAAGGTTCACAATAACAAAGAAGCAGCTTGTGTGTGCGTGTGTTGTCGCTGCACCGTTCCCATGGTGCGCAATGAAAAGTGCTGTTTCAGTTTCCTTTGTGATCATCCTGCATGATTCACTTCTGATGGCAAAAACCACCACCTAAAAYGAATCAATGTGACCATAAGAATGTGAACATGTTTGTTTGTGAAACCACATCAGGCAGTTAGTTTGCGCCATAAACTGGGATTTCCAGCCCAATCATCGCCGGTCACAGCACTGCAGTAGCAGACGTGGTTTACAGATGTTAACCACGGATATGAATCCAGACTGGAACACGCTGGTGAGGGGGGTCTTGTAGATGGATTCTTGTTTTTAATTAAAGGCCTTGCAATCCTTGAAGAAATGCACGACTGCCTTAAATGGGACAGAATTCACTTTTTAGGTTGTAAATGCATT